TCGAATAACTGCGATTCTGTCCCCATCAGATTTTCGCCGATATCTCGAAATTCAAGGGGGATAACGGGTTTTTCATGGGTACATCTTTTGTAGCTCTCATCTTTTTCTATGGAAAATGTTTATACGAGAAAATTGATAGGGCCCGACGATTTCGAGATATCGGGGAAACTTCTGTTTCTGTTTCATATTATTTCGTCAATTCGATTGATTGTCGCAACGATTTCTGCGCGTTAAAATCCGAAACATTTGATTCTCCATTTTCTGATTGATTTGATTCTTCTACATAATATTCCAATTGTTTATCAGGAATAATTCCAAGAATTCCAAGAATTTCCTCGATTTATAAATGTCAAATGAAAATAAATAAATGCACAAATATAACAGAATATAAAAAATATGAACAAAAATTATTTTTCAGGGAGTTGCAGATATTTTCGATTTTTCTGTGAATTCACGTGGATTTAAAAAAATAATTTATCCATGTGGTGGGGGGGTACTGGGGTTTCCCCAGGAAATCATAGAAAGGCGGGAAAAAAGTCATAAAAATTCTCACCGGCAGCCCGATGGGGTCTCCTGGCCCATTCATCCTCAATAAGAGGTGCGACCTTCCTGGCCTCACCCCCAGGACCCGCAAGTCCCAGTAGAAACACCAGTGCAACACCAGCCAGACCGATCATCTTCCCAAAACTCGATAAACCGGCAAAAATTCTCACTTCAACCTCTCGTCCGACGCCCGATCTTCCCACACTCGAAAAAAATAATTGATAAATAAATAAAATCAATTGACCGGCTATTTTTTAATCACCCGACAATCAATTTTCAGATTAAATAACCGTGATCGGTGATGAAAATCGTTATTCACAGAGGAAAAATCGTGGAAAATCAATGAACCATTATTGAAAACGAGTCAATCAATCAATCGAAATGTCCTCGTTAGTGGATCCAAAGTCCCACGATGTCACCGGCACGTGTGAAAAAATCTCAGCGCATGAGTTGGAGTTTTTCAAATGAATTTTTCCACTTCAAACGAGTGAAAAACAATCACGACAACCGTCCAGGCAATTTGACAAAGTCCCGTGCACTGTCGTCGGTCTCATCATCGTCATCATTGCCGGTTGGTACAACACAACTAGGAGAGGAAAAAAAAAAAAAA